GTGGTGATTTTTTTGTTAAACAAAAATGACCTTAATGTTAAGAGGTGAACGAAAATCAGAAAAAGTGATCTTTTTGAGTGGCTTTTTATTTTGTGAAGACGGTAAACAGCTCAGAAAAGTTGGTAGCAAAGATAAATGTATCTCATTGGTGAATGTTCTTATTGAGTGCATACACTTGAGCATCGCTCGCAAGCGTTCTCCACAAGCAATGTCCCGCGCTTCTGGCGAATATGACAAATAAATGTGTTTGCGAGTAAACACATTTATTTGTCATATTCGCCAGAAGTTCCTGCGGTAAAATTAGCCATAACGCTCGTGCAGTGAGCCGGCAATTATAACCATCAATTAGATTGAGGGCGATGGACACAATACAGCCAACCATGCTGTTTTACCTCAAATCCCTTCTAGAGACTGGTGTTTGCTCAGGAGTCGTAGCTCCATCTAGCTGATTATAATCATGTATTGTCATCAGCATTTTGAACACAGAAAGCCAGACCTCCTCGCACCGAGCCCGCTTCGTGCTTTGCACGTAAATGAACGTCAACGACGTCACGTTATCTCTTAATAAAAATACTGCCACGTGTGACGCAATGTTAGGCACCCATACTCTTGTCTTACGGAGCATTCCATTTTCGTGAACTTCAACTTTATCAATTCGCCTATCACTGAATCCCAACTCAATTTTTGATTGAATTCAGCTATCCGTCTTTATGAGAAATGCGCGTCACCACAAATTTTCGATTTTCTCACTGCCATCTTCTTGGAAGGTTTAGTAAGAAACGCGCTGCTGTCGCTTTGATTCAGATTTCTTGCTAAAACATGAGCTCGACTCGCCAAGCGGGGAACCCTAGGACTAGCTGCCTTTGATTTTGCTTCCTTCTGCTTTTGAAATCTTCTAAAACGTGCTCGCCGCATATTAGTCGCCACGGACTTATTCCTCAAAGCAGTGTCACTGTCAAAATTGTCCGAAAGGGATGAGCACGAGCTGATCAATGACTGGACCGAATCTGAATGTCTTGATTGGACTCTTTGATCAAGTCGAGTCGGGAAATTTGCATAAGCAGGAGCTTGCTCCAGCCTCTTTGTAATGCGCTCTTGAAGCAGGCGAATATCTCTGTGGACTTTACTCGTGTGTATGTCAAGCTGAGATCCATCAACTTGAGCATTCTTTTCTTGAAGCTTGCCAGATCTTGTGCACTCATCCATTGGATGTACAGAGAAAGCGTGATGCGTACGTCGACATTGAGTAGCAGATAAGGTTGTACTCACGGGGCTGTGTGATTGCTTCGGCTCTAAGCTTTGAAAACAGTCGTTGCGATTTGATGCTCGATCTGATTGTCTGCATAAATGTTTTTGGCACCCATCATTTTGACTCCAATTGTCTTGATCGTTGTAGAGAGCACCATGATCGAGATGTTTCGACGGATCACTTAATCGGCCAGTACACGAACTATTTTTTGCGTGATTGAGGCGGCTGGTCATATTCAAAATCAATTCGTTCTTTTCTAGCAGAAGGCGATTGAGCGCTGTATATTTTACCTGCTCCTCCTTCCACTTCGCCTCAATGGTTGCACATTCGTCTCGCAAGCGTTCCTTTTCACGTTCATGCGCTTGCTCGTGCTGTTTCATTGCTTCGCAAGTACTGGCAATTCGTTTTTCGTACTCCTGAAGTCGATTTGCTATTTCTTCTCGATCTTCTTCCTTTTCCTTCAGTTGGCTACGTAATTCAGCCAGCTCCCGTTCAAGCTCCTGATGCTTTTCCATCGCTACCGTCATCTCTGAATTATAAAAGTTTGCTGCTGTCTCTGATGCGGCGCGAAGTTCCTCGTTCGTGTTTTCCTCTCGAATCACACTTGCCTTCTCAGTTTGTAACTCTTTTTTCAGCGCAAGTACTTCAGCTTGAAGCTGCTGATTGCCTTGAGCTAAAGTGCGAGACTTGGAGCTTTCGCTTTCACGTCTCTCTTTTTCGTCACAAAGAGCGTCTTCCCACGCATGTCTCTCCTGTTCG